GCACGTTTTTTTAGACAGTTATTTCCATGTGTTGACATTATGTGCTGCATTATTTTGCTCATTGCACCCTCCTGTGGTCTCGGGAGACAAGACAAAAGTTTCCTTAAAACCTATTTAATCTGCATAAATATCTAATTTCTAATGTTTTATGTTTAATTTTCATTGTGTGTTTGACCGTTAAAACAAAAATATATTTATTGTTTGTCTCAATAAATTGGGTTAATTTAAAAATACAGTGGTTAAATAAAAAAATAAATGGGTAAAATAAAATTTAAAAGGTTAAAAAATGTCAATAATTATCGATACCAAACAATATGAAACATTATATCGTTGATACATTTTTTAGCTATATCGCCCAGCTCTACTTTATCCTCATAAAAAAATGGACTTTGACTCACTGAGGCACTTTATTTGGAAATACATGGAAAGATACTAGTTAGGAGTGCAACAGTACACGTATTTATACCGAAAATGCTTTACTGAAATCTGTACCGAACAAATACAGCATTTTTTTAACCACTGCACGAGTGGATCTTCATTGGAAACTTCCAATGAACTACTAGTTCTACTACTAGTTTTAACGTGAAATAAACATGAATGAACGACATCAAAACAAAATGTCACGTAGCATTTAATTTACCTCAGGCAAGTCAAAGTCCACAGCTCTTTGGATTGCTAGAGAAATGAAGTCTAGAGAAGAGCATTTTGCGAAATATTAGATTTTGTACTCATTATATTTTTACTTTACCTGTTAGTGATGTCTTAATTATTTAATGTATGTTTAAATCAATTTGTTATGAAACAAGTTATGACAGCCACTGTGTAAATGAAGATATTTCTATAATTTTATAATTTAGAAGTTCATTTAAAAACTGCATTTGCAGTTTACATATTTGCATACAATTTTTTAAGTTAAGTGCTGATTATTATGTTTAAAAATAAATAGTAATTAAATTTACGTTTGGGCTCTGTTGTTAATTGTAACCTTATAGTAATGGAAAAGGGCTGCATATAGTTTATATCATAAACTGAGGTAGATTTTCATCCCTATAGAAAATTTTAATTATAATTGAATTTATTCAAAAAAAAGAGCAATTTGTTCAGTAAACCACTGTTTAAAGTTAAAGGTATAGTTCACCCAAAAATGTCGTTCCAAAACTGTAAGACCTTTCATCTTCAGAACACAAATTACATGACACAGAATAAACAAATTAAATAAAAACACAAAATTAAATAATAATAATAAATACAATTATTGTATTATATTAAATCATTCTTAAAATATTCTTAAATATTACATTACATTATAAGTCTGCTTGTGATATCTTTCTTTTAACTAAATGTCACTTCCAATAAATGCCACCAAAGGAATTTGAATTAATCTGAATTAATTGTGGGAACCAAGTATAGGTATGAAACATTATAATAAAAAGTGGTTCATAACTACTCGGCATTCCTGAGGACCTGATTGTTCTCTCATGCATGCATTTGTTAAGTTTTAATTTTGAGATCTAGGCTTTTGAAAAATAGTCTCTCGTCTCATAAATGCAAAAGATGATAATGAAATTGTAACACAAATGCTCAAACATGAGTGAGTGTGTGTGTATGGAATAATTTAGATGTGTGCAAGAAGCGTTAATTTTTAAAGGCTCTGAAGGCTTATGCAACGGGGTCCACGTGTGGCCATGAGCGGTGGGGAACAGCTGCAGTCAGGATACATTCGCCACAAGACAGGACACACACACACACACACACACACAGAGCAGTGCTTTTTCACTTATGTAGCACATACACTAGGGTACAGACACACACACCTACACACAGGCACAGACACATAGAAAAGTAATGCAATCCATATCATCTCTCTCCTCCTTTCAATTCTTTGTCTTCAGTCATTTACAGTCATAATAGACATTTTTCTTTCTCTCTCTCTTTCTCTCTCTCTCACACACACACACACAATAATAAACTGGTGGCATCTGCTCATAAGAGTGACTGTAGAATCGATACTATAATTAACATGATCACACAGTCTTTCTCTCCCTCATAAAACAGCAGCCTAATCAATTCAGTAATTAATGGTGTAAATAAAAGTCATAAGCACTCAGACACTCATTCAGCCCAGAATAAAGGGCTGGTCACACAAGAATTGAAAGGTTAAGTGTGTGATTTCTGTGCCACCAGAGCCACTAAACAGAATAGCAAAAAATAACAATTGTTTTGGAAATGGTTTTCACTACCACATCTGCCATTGGTAAGCAAACAAGAAGGGTTGAGCTAATGCTGCTGTGTCAGGCTTTTTGGAGCACTCTCCAGTGACACCAACCTATGAATGGTTTACAGTTGGCTAACAACGGCTAATAATTCACATAAAGCTAGGAAAGAAAACATTTCAAAATTGAAAAAAATTAAACACATTATCCTTAATTGTGTGAATACATCTTTATTTACATTCATCCTCCGTCAAATAGTAATCCACAATACATTTCAACAAACAAAACAAAACAACTTTATCTGACCTATTATCTATGAATACTTCTAAAATGGCTAATAAATATTTAAAAACAAAACTAGTGAAATAAGACGCATAATATAATTTAACACAATATAACATAATATGAAATAATATCGTTAAGATCAATATAAAATGTAATAATAATAACAATTATTATGTCTTAACTATATTTAATCTCAATATATTTATACTTCCATTTAAAAACAAAGACTTATGTGGATCAATTTCAATGAATACTACTCACAACATAACTTGACTAAAATGAATAATACATATTAAAACAAGATCTAATAAACAAATCTAATAGGCTAATAAACAAATAAAATAAAAACACAAAATTAAATAATAATAATAAATACAATTATTGTATTATATTAAATCATTCTTAAAATATTCTTAAATATTACATTACATTATATTACATTACAAGTCTGCTTGTGATATCTTTCTTTTAACTAAATGTCACTTCCAATAAATGCCACCAAAGGAATTTGAATTAATCTGAATTAATTGTGGGAACCAAGTAGGCTTTTTGGAGCACTCTCCAGTGACACCAACCTATGAATGGTTTACAGTTGGCTAACAACGGCTAATAATTCACATAAAGCTAGGAAAGAAAACATTTCAAAATTGAAAAAAATTAAACACATTATCCTTAATTGTGTGAATAACTAATAAATAAATAAATAAACTATAACTGTGTAACTACTATAGTGAATTGTACAAATATATATGGTCACACTTTAGTTTGGGGACCAATTCTCACTATTAACTACGACTTTTGCCACAAACTCCTAATTTATTGCTTATTAATAGTTAGTTGTTAAGTTTACGTATGTAGTAGAATTAAAGGGTTAGTTCACCCAAAAATGAAAATTCTCTCATTAACCCTTTCGCATGTGAGTTTAAAATATTCTAGCTGACCCCCCAGTGTGAGTTTTTTTAGGCGACCGTTATTTTAAAATGTATCGCCTTATTGTTTCCATGGCGACGCGTCATGCTTGTCATGTGACACAACGCAGCAACAATAGATCTGTGTGACACATGGATCGCTTTTATTTCGTTTTTCCTGTTTTATTCAAAATATTCACAAACACGCTCACTATATTATGAAATATCTGATATTCCGATTCTGAAATATGTGCAATTAAATCTGTTTGGTAGTTTAAACACTTTTATATCGACCATGTTATTTGATCTATACTGGGTGATGGGCGACGCTATGTTAGTTCGCGCTGAATCCCAGCTGTGGGATTTACAACACGCAAATTCATCCTCTCCTCCCGAAACACGTTAAAGTAGGTCTCCGGTAAACTGGGAGAAGAGCAGAGTAAACTTTATAGTTACCTACACAATCTGTATATGATATCAATAGAAACATGTCGTCAGATTATATTTGTAAGGATCATTATTGCCGTTTCCATAAACATCAGCGTGTATTTTACAAACTGTAAATGTATGGTTTTGCTAGTACTTATGTGTATTTAAATGTCTGAAACATAAAATAAGTATTATATGGTTGAAAACAATGACTATTTGTGATACTATGACAAGCGCTCAGCGCGTCTGATCTGGCTCTGCACCAGCCAAAGCGCAAAAGCGGATTTAAATTCAGCAGTTGATGACGTGACGCACTGAAAGTTCTAATCACACCGGTGTGATCGTACGCTTCAGGGACCAGCCAAGACTGATCACACTGGTGTGATCGTACGCGTCAAAGGGTTAATTACTCACCCTCATGTCGTTCCAAACCCGTAAGACCTTCGTTACCGTCTTTTCCGTCATTTTGGAGAGTACACTGGAACTAAATCAATATAATCAGCATTGTTTACGTTCAGCGCGCATGCTGAACGCAAACAATGCTGATTACGTTGATTACGTTCTGGGGTACTCTCCAAAATGGCAGAAGAAGGTAACTCAGGGAGAAGAACTGTTGAATAAATTATGTTATTATTGTTTTCTTTGCATAAAAAAAGTATTCTCACAGATTCATACAATTATAGTTGAACCACTGATGTCACATGGACTGTTTTACCAATGTCCTTACTACGTTTCTAGACCTAGGAACATTGCAGTTGCATTGCTGTGTATGGAAGATCAGAGAGCTCTCCGATTTCATCAAAAATATCTTAGTTTGTTTTCCGTAGATGAACGAAGGTCTTACGGGTTTGGAACGACATGAGGGTGAGTAGTTCATTTTTGGGTGAACTAACCCTTCAAGGGATTTAAAATATGGTCATGCAGAATAAGGTTAATATGTGCTTTAGAAATACTAAAAAACAGCCAATATGCTAGTAATATGCATGCTAATAGTTAATAGTGAGAATTCTCTAAACTAAATTGTTACCATATATCACCTAACTGTACACACGACAAGCAGTGCTAAACCCCACTGTAAACAAAATAAAACCAGGAATCAACAGGATTGGATTGTACAAACATTAGAACACACATTAATAAATAAATCCCTGTGCACAAATAAGTACACACGCAAATGCACACATAAACATTCACCCCACACAGAACCTGACTGTCTTACGCGTGCAGGGTGCGGATGGAGGGTCCAGTGGAGTTCTGAAGTGGTCGTCCTCGCACACACACAGCACAGAGCCCTCGTCTTCAGCCTTGCTGTTAGCCGGACACAGGAAACACTCTTGCTGCCGTGACGACATCTTGTAGGTGCCCGGGGGACAGGCTGGCAAAAGACAGAACACACAGCGAAGAATCCATTACAGACTCTGAGACAACAAAACCCGTAGCTTCTAGCGGCAGAATTAAATACAACCCTGAAAAATGGCAATACTTACAACCTGAGACTAGAAAAGAGTACATGGCTTTAGACCTTATTAGGCGACATAAAAGATTCCCTTGGGAGTATAATATGCTACTTGAAGAGGAAAAAACCCACATGCCACTGTGCCTCCAGGAACAAAATCCTTTGAAACTAATGAGGTTCATATTACACATGATTAAGGGGCTATTTGTTGCCTGTACAAGCAATAAGTGATGGAAGCTCACACTCGTAAAGTAACTGCTGTGAGTGTGAACAGCGACTGTAAGAGGGGACAGAGCACTTGTGCAAAAATGAATCGCAATGTTCAATATGAGGGCTCTAGGAAAGAAAAGGAAGTCCCACATCTTAATGGTAGACTCATTCGTCTCACTAAGAATGACAACACGTAGAATAAGTTGGACCAAACTGAAAAAAGTAAAAGAACAAACCATCCATTTGTCCATCCCCTAATTTTCTGGTCATTATTTACAATAATTTATGTTCACATTTATGCATTTAGCAGATATTTTTATCCAAAATAACTTACAAAAGAGGAACAAATCACTTCATTATTGCCCCAGTGCACTGATAGGGTCATAAAAACAATTCTCTGGAAAACATACAGGTACAATGAACATGCACATGGATACACAGATGCACACACTTGTGCACACTTGATTCTTTTTTTCGTTTTATTTTTTCTAGCCTCTGTTTTAATGGTTAAATTAAATTGTATTCATCAAAAAGCATGTTTAATTAATTGAAATCATGAAACTTACAATATTAAACAGCAATTTATTAAAGTTTAACAAAAATTTAAAAAATTTAAGGCCATATAAAATGTTTTTTTCTTCTTCTTAAATTCAGTTTTATTTTTACCAGATAGTTTTTGCCAAATATTAATAATAAAAAGCATCTCTAATTTTTTAAAAAGTATATATTTTTCCAGAAATACTGTGTTTCTGCTAAATACATTCTGGTAAATATTTTTTATATTATAATTATATATATTTATAAATATTATATATATATATATATATACTTTTATAATTAGTAATACTATCATTACATTAAGTAATATTTCTGTCATGGTTTCTTCAAGTTAAACCAAACTTTTATATTGAAGGGGGCTATGAAGACTTTTAGGTTTCTAATTGTATATGACATGACTATAGTTTTGCTCAAAAGAAATGGCAAAATGCTCATGAAGTGACTCTCAGAGCAGTTCTAGAGATTATGTTCATGTACTCATATACTGAGGCAGCAGGGGCTGTAAAACACTGCAAGCATCACAAGCGCTTCTGTATGTGTGTAGTAAATTTTTATTTTTGCTTAATATTTACAGACACTAGTCTATATCGCATTTTGATTTACCTGTACGGACATACTTTCGATGTATCCATCCAAAATTTGGCAAATTCCATGACGTTCCGTGTTATACAGTATATTCCATTTTTATGACTGGATTCCGCCCTACAAACCCTACAAGTAGTAAGCACAGACATACCGTGAACTTTTCCAGTGAGGCAAGGGAAATGAGACAGACATTGGGAAAACCCCCAAAGTAAGTGATATGGCATCAAAATATATGCATTCAGAAGACATACGCAGATACAAACCAATACACAAGCACATCTCAGTGTTATAATGAATTAAATGTGAAAGCAAAACTCACCAATCTCATGGCTTGTCAGATTAATTCCTGCAAACAGCACTAACCAAAATGACTGCAAACTTTGTGGACCTGTGCTTGTACGCCACTGTTTGTTTTCGCTGGTGTCTTTACAACTTTAAACTGCAATGCACTTTGACTTTACCACTGCCGGGAGGACTGTGGCAAAACAGACAGCCAACTGAAGGCAGCTAAAGCCAAACACACTGAAGGGAATGAGACTACAACCCATTATCAACTGACATTACACAGAAATTCCCAGGGACGCTGTTTTTTTCTAATTCCACAACAGACCAGCTGGTTACATACGGATCAATTTATCTAATGTGGCATCAGCAGGGGTTGCTTCACAGAAACCAATGAGATGATTGGCTCTATAGTGCTACAAGGAACTATAATGCAGATCAAGCAAAAAGTCACACCAGGGGTCCAGGTTGCAGAGAATCCAACAAAGGTAAATGCCAAATATCTACAGGGAATGTGGATCAAGCTTTCAGAATTACACTTTGGGATGTAGGAGGCATAGCATATACAAGTTAGCAATTTTTAGGACACACTCTGCCTAATTTTATGCCTCATTTTATCATCTAAAATTATGCATCATTTATAGTCTAATTGAGAACAAATAATTTAAATTGGTTCATTTAATGGGCACGTTTATCCAAAGTGACTCACAAATTAGAATAATAGAAACAGAAGCAATTAATTCAAGAGAAAACACAGGTAATGCGACCATGCTGAATTTCCATTAGAAAGATTAAAATATACGTGGAGAATGAGTTTAATACAAAAAGACTACTTAGTAAGTGCAGTTTTTTAGATAATTTAAGAAATAAAAAGATTGTAAGACGAGGAAAAACAATACTGGAAATAAAATCTGAAGTCGCTGACTCTCACTGACAATGATCTGCTTTTGTATGAGCAATCAGATTTCACTGAGCAGTCTCTTCATAACCACCCGGCTCTTTCGAACACACATCAATAAATCATAAAGAACGTAACACCGTAAACGTGAGCAATGAATTGTTTCAATGGCGCTCTGACAGGAGGCATTAATGAATATTAATAAGTCCAAAAAGACGTTTGCTTTTCTCTCCTTCTCTCGTCTCGACACAAATGGCCTTCATTATTTTCGGGCTATAATTCCATGCCGTCTTATTTCCAAATGTCAGGCTAGATTTGCAAGCAGCTGTCAGGGAATCAATAATTCATGTCATCATATTCAGATCATTGCCTCAATGCTGCTAATTCCAATTTATTAAAGAATCCCTTGCGAATGGAATAAATCCACATAAATGAAGGAGTGAAAGGTCTATTTTGAAGGTCCTGCCTATCACACGCTCTCCACGCTCCTGTGACACTGTTGGGTTTTAAAGGGCTATAATAACCCGTTCAAGTTGCACAGGTAACTGACATTCTGTTTTTCCATCTGTTGCATTTTGCAACAGTGATTATGGTGACATTGATATGGCCTCTGCATTAATCAGACAGCAAAAAGCTATTTTTTCCAAATCTCAAATGTCATAAACAATCACCTTCTGTGGTCTGGTATCAGCAGCAAAATCAAATCTGTTTGGGAACAGAAATTTAGAGAGATTTAGGTCTGGGCTCTACTTACTGAGCCAGTAACTACTGTGGCAACCAGCCAAAATGCCCTACCAACATGCTACAAGATACTCAGAAATCCAAATCACAGGACAATATCCGAGCATCATGGAAGCATGGAAGGTTAGAGTAATAACCATTCACATTTTCCTCAGAAAAATCTATGGTTAACATAACAGCCATAAATCACTCAAACTGGACAAACTGGTCCATTAAGTGGGATTTAGAGAGAGACAAAAGAGGCGCCCTTAGGGTGTCAAGACTGGACGGATTCTTTCTCTGCATGTCCATCACATTCATTCTGATATCTTAGATCCTCTAAACACATCTCACCATTTTTCTTCACTCTTCTTTTATTTTCATTGTATTCTACTCTTATCCTCTTTCTCAGCCTCTTACTTACTCCCATTTTCTCCATCTTCCCCCAAATCCCCCCTTTCACACTCTCAAATTCAATGCTGCTTATCTCTACCAAACAGAACAATAGAAAAACCATGGACAAGAGTCAGAATTAGAGGACATTACACTGCTCAGCCTTAATCCTAATCAGGGCAAGAATGATCTGAGCTCTGCCTCAAGGGGCTTGCATCCCAGCCTCCAACTCCCACACCACCACTGATCAATCTTCATCAATGCAGTTCTCTTATTAAAACACAGATCTGCTATGCCCCAAGTCAATGACCACCCCCTTTGCTCACCGTCTTAGACTTTCACACCCTTCTTGTATAAAAGAGTTCTGTCAACCCTTGTTGGTTTGCACACTCACTACATCTACTGATCTTGCACTCTGTGTTCTCCCTTCCTTCCCCAATGCACCACATTAGGTCAGCCACCTCTAGAGGCTTAAGACATCATCAAAAGCGTCCATGCAGCTAATGTTGGGGTTTTGTTTGCTTCCTGTCACCTCTGATGGATGGTTTCCATTTAGTCAAGTCCGGAGGAGATTTGTAAATGTTCGAGCCCAAGCCCAAACCCCTGATGGAGAGGCACATGGCTGAGCATATCCTTGAGGAGCCAGGCATCGCTACATGTGTGAACGATGCTCCTGTCACATGAACTTGAGCATTCAGCTCATTGTGTTCACATAGTCCACTTCAACTCACACGTGCACATGTGTAATTTCTCACAGAAGAGCCTGGGGATCCTTGTAAAACAGGTACAGTAGAACTACATAAATTATAAGAGTTTTTGCATAGGGATGAGAAGAGGAAAGTGCTGAAAATAAGAGAAAACTAGAAGGAAGAAAGATGGACAGAAGAAAGGAAGGAAATGTAAAATAAAGAAGGATGGAAGGAAACAAAAAAGGGAAAAAATAGGTAGGAGGGAAGGTACAAGGATGGGGAAAAGGGGGAACACTGGAAAAACTGATGGAAGAAGGAAGAAAGGATGGGAAGAAAGACTAAAGGGAAGAAAGACTAAGGGAAAGAGATGCAAGCAAGGAAAAAAGGAAAGTAAAAATGGAGGAGGGAGGAGGAGAAGAAAAAGGAAGTGGACAAGTGAGCGGTAAGGAAGTAGGTAAGGAACAAAGGAAAGAGAAAAAAGGAAAACAAGAGGAAAAGTTGGAAGGAATAAAGAGGAAAAGGGGAAGTAGGAATGAAATAAGGATGGCAGACAGAAAGGAAACATCACAAAGACGTAAAGGATG